TTAGAACTGCAAGTAAGACCCTCAACGTTAGATTGGGATTGAGCAAAACTTTACTTATTATTTTTGACCTAAATACAGAAATCTTATTGGTAAAACTTCCATAAGAAGTAGTGTACTTACGGCTGAAAGTGCAGGTTTCCTGGCAGATCACTAAAGCCTTTTTAACAACATCTCACTTAGCCGTCCTCCAATAATTGTTAAAAGTCGGATACTTGAAGAGCTCAACAAATTTGAATTCTTCTCTTTATATTTCATTTTTTAAGCCTGTTTTATCATTTAACTTACTCAACATTGTCTCATCAGCATTTAGTAACGGTTGTGTAAAATATAGATAAAGTGGATAACAGGATAAAAGCTTCAGGTGAATTTGACGCTGAAACATGAGTTTATGTTTTAGAGGTTTTGCTCGATCTCTGAAGAGAACTAGAAAATACTAATAATTCTTATTTTATACCAGGCAGATAAAGAATTAGAAAATTAAAACTGCTGCTATATTTTCAAAATTTGTCGCTGAAATCATCTTGATCTTTCTTACAAAATCCTGAAAATTGAAGAAGTTTTTTACTCGGATGAGCCTTCCAGTATTTGAAAGTTTGCAATTTACGTTAAATGTCAATGGCAGCAGCGTAATTATGCGTCACGCGTCGCATTAAATTCAACAACTGCGAGTTGGTCATAAATAACAAGAAATATTTCTTTAATTTACTGTCGTGACTATAGGCACACTATTTCAAATTTCAAGATTCGATCTCCTTGCTTCCTCTTCTTGATTGTCCTATAAGATCTACTTCCTAAAACTCTTGCTGTAAGCACAATCAGTCTCTGTCACTCACAGCGCCACTTACTCTGCTTCTTATATCTTCCGATACTATTTTAAGATGTTGACTTATTCTAAACTCTCTACTAAGACAAAGTGATCTCCTGCGCAAAGCTGGAGTCAGTTTATCCGAGCCTAGAAAGTATGCAAGCTGACTTCTAGATTACTTTGCCTGAGCTTAACAACTAAATGAAGCGCTTTTTGCGTGCTACGGATCTCCAAACTTACTAATTTATCAGCTACACTCAAAAGGAATACAATAGACACAAAGCTAGCGAGCGCAATCTCAGTAACGGTTATATAACTCGTGGCAAAACAAGAAATAAATCAATAAAATTTAAGTACAACACAGTAATTCAAATATTAAAAAAACACACATAGAGACTTTATCTGTCGATGGGTACGTGAACAAAAAGTGGAGAAAATAATTTCAAAAAAAAAAAAAAAA